CTGATTATTCTGGCCGTGAGGCTGACAAAATAGAAAAGTCAGCCGATGCCAGCGTGACCTGACCCTCCCCAAGAACATTGCAGAGCACTCTGCGAACTTTAGAGACTTTTGCAAGGATGAAGAATGCTGAAGGTCCGATGTGCTTGGGGGGATAGGATAAATGTGCTTGGAAAAATAGGATAAGTATTGCATAAAGCAGCGTTGAAATGCCACCTCAGGCGGTTCCTGCTGCTTTTGCCGCCTGCCAGTGCTTCCTGACATCGTCGAAAACCACCTTGCTTTGGTCCGTCTTCAGCGCGTAGATCTCGGAGGTGGTGGTTGTGAGCGTCACGGTGCCCAAGCAGCCACCGCAGCCCGATGACTGACGGTCCACGTCGGCCACCTGCGCAAAGTCGATGTTGTTCTGCTTGACGCCTTTGCCCAGTCCAAGACCCTTGTGTTCGACGATGCCCGCCTCGGACATCTGCCACGTCGTGCGATGGTGCTGGAACGGAGTACATGGCAAGCCACAGCAAGAAAACTTGTCTGCGAAGGTGGCCACAATCTTGTTGGCCCTCCCTGCTTCCTGCATGGCCTGCTGCCTGGCCTCTTCCTTCTTCAGCTCCTGGGCAGCCTTCTTGATGCGCAGCTGGTCGCCGATGCAGATGTTCATCTGCTTCAAGTGCGTGTCTTCCAAGTAGGCCAGCTGGTTCTTGCCGATGGCGTGCTTCTCGAAAGCCTCGATGGTGGCGCTGGTGAAGGCCACAGAGGTCAACCAGGTCTTTGTCTCCTGCTGCTCGGCTGCTGACATCGACTGCTGGCTGGGAGCGAACATGGCGAGGCTGGGGAGACACGATGTCAAGGCACTGTGCTAAAGCCCAAATGGCTCAGCGGACGATCGCTGAAAGGACTGCATTCGCATGTCCTTGCACCTGCCTGCCTGTTGAGCTGTCTACCTACCTCCTGTTTGTCTGGTTTGAGTGTGTGGAGGAGAACTCCCATCTCGGGACTAAATGGGGCATGAGCTGTCCCTGACCCAGCACGCCCGGGCACTTCGCCACGTCGCGCTGCAGCATCTCATTGCATTCCCGGATCAGACCAATATCCTTGTCTTGAGGGGTTACACAAGTCTCGCTGCTTCATCGTCGATACATTCGATACCTGATTCCGAATCATGACTGTGGGTGGACCTTCGTATGCAGAAGATGCTGACGCCTAAAACCCTTGCGAAAGGCTTCTCTGCAGAGCAGTGGGCATACCCTGCAGCTCGGGGACAACCTCGGACTGGGACTTCTAAGACTCGCACAATGTCTTGCTTCGTCCGGTACGCTTTCGCGAAAGCCTGACATCTGACAGACACATTCCGTGGTCGTACCATGTTCTTTGCTGCTCCACGATCACTGCGCTGTTGGCCTTGAGCTGCGCTTTGCAGTTTCGCACCACGCAGCCTTGTACCTGCAGAGCGATTTTGGCAGTTTTGAAGCAACTTCAGCAATGAACAAGAGAGGCAGAGACATCTCCCTGTCCGAGGAGATCATCCCCTCTGCTCGCTGAGCGCCTTCACATCGAAACCGAAAATGTCGGCCATGCGCGCGACATAAGGCGGCGATATGAGGGGCTCCTGTCACATGCGGTGGTGCCAAGGCCATCTTCCAACGAAAAAGTAGCGTGCTTGATGCAGTGCCATGATTGTGGATTCGTGCAATGCCACCCGGTCGTGCTACTGTGTGTGTGTGTGTGTGCGCTCTAGAAATACCGAATGCAATCGCGGCGTGTACAATGAAGCCTGTTTTACGCCCTTATGCATCCGCCAGCTGCTGCTGGCATCGCACTGTGTGCCCGTTTCAGGCTACCAGACAACTCGTCCTGGTCATGCTCGGTCTCGACACGAGTCGCTTCATAGCTCCAAAGGAGGCGATTGCAGCGCACCTGCATCACCTGGCTACTTCCAGGCCAGGTCTCATGCTGACATTGACATTGACCGAGCCGATCATGTAGTGCATCCGAATTGACTTGCCATGTGTGCACGGCTTCTGCCAGCATGTGCACCACTTGTCCGACTGTCTGCGCCTCGTCACGAGATGCCTGTCGGCAAAAGTCCCGGAGCTGGCGGAAATAGTCGTAGAAGGGATGCTTCCATGTGACCTTTCCATCAAATCCACACAGAGACGCTTCGAAATACAGTGACACCTTTGTGTGCCTACTCTGGTTCTGCCAGATCCTGGTGGGTTGTGGTTTCCATGATTTGTCGCTACACACTGGATCTTTGGGCGTGTCGCACGTGGGCATGGGAGGGCGTGTGCGGGCCAGGATCGGCGGCAAGCGCACAGGTGCTGGGATGCGGGTGCTGCGGGTTGTGTGGTCGGTAGAGTAGGCGGCGGAACGACCATGATCATGAAGCGAGAACACGGCCCCGGCAATCCGGTCACCGCCCTTCCCAAAACTCCAAACCTGCCCCTGTCGTGTGTCGAATCAGCCGCATGATCGCAGCAAAGCAGGCGACTGCCCCATTATGTCACTTGAGCTTACTGCGGTTTGAGCGTGTGTGCACCGAACTGCCACGGGCACATGCATGCATAGTCCATAGCATACCGGTGCATCGGAAGAATGGCTTACATCTGCAGAACTTGTTGCCCAATACATTGGCCCTCCTACGATACGCGCACATGTGCATCAAAGTATCTTCAGTTTGTAACACCTGGCTGCAATTCTGACCGGCCTGTCCGCTGTCAGACCGAAGGTAACAGACGATGCTCCCAATGCCTTCGTGTAGAGCCGAAGCAGAAGCATGTCTTCTGGATGCATGGTGCAGGCGCGAGCGAAGCGAGCCTTTGTAGCACGTCCAAGGCTTGGGCAGCTCCGTCTCTTGCATTGCCTGAAACGGTGTTTTGGGAGCCATGAGCATGCCAAGAGCTGAGCTATTGATGGTATTGAAAGCTGTCACCTGTCTTTGAATGCTCCCTGCCGAGAAAAGTAAGGCTGTGCACATGTGCCCGGAGGATTCCGGAGGTGTGCCGGCGTGCTTCTAAGATCTGCATTGGAGACTGTGTCTCAAAAATTCTCAAAAGACGGAAGAGGCTGAGCAAGGAACTCGCACGAGCCACACCAGCTGGGTGTCACGTGGCTCGATTCCTTGAAACAAGCTCTGCATTGCTCATTCTCAGAAGGTGTGAATGAGAACTAAGCCTCGGACGCAGGTAGTAGGCCCATTCATCCTGTGTCGGCACAGCTCCTTGGAACACGGCACAGCTCCTTGAGGATACTCTGGGGCATGTCGTGGGTCCCGGCCGTCGCACATCAATGCCGGGAACTTGTCGAGCTTCAGGAGAGCCTTTCAATGACATCGAAGGATACCGAAGGCAATCGATGGCAGTTTACGCACACATGTTGGCTGCAGTCCTGCTGCGTGAGCGGGTCATCGACTCCGAAAAGGACGAAGGGGTCCGCGTCGAGGTACTCCAACGTCTCCTGCGATGTACGTGGCATCACCCACGAGATGCTGACAAGCAGGGCAGAGGTGCAAAAGACGTCCTCGCTAAGGATGCCACGCTTCTCGAAGTATGAAAGGACATTGCTCCAGAGGTCATCCAAGTCCCGGTACCACCTGCCAGAAGCTCTGCGTTCTGACCGCATGACTGCAAACTCTGCATTGACTTAGACAGCAGGAGACAGCGTTCTCAAGAGAGCCCTTGTCTTTTCTAGCGGGCAAAGACTGAATGATCAGAGTCATTTCCCACCGAAGGTTCCGCCCAACCTCGGATTTCGTGCTCCGTAGACGTGAGCGGCTCACGTATGAGGCTGCATGCTGGAAAACCACGCCCGTCAGTAATGAGGCAGACACGCCTGACACACAACACAGAATATCACAGAGTCCTTTCCTCTGCCACTTGCAAACAAAACGGGTCTTAGCACATGGCGTGTAAAGCGGCAGTGTCTCTGTGTCCGCTGGCACCGCATTGCTGCCTTCACCGCGTTGCAGAGCAAACAGCTTTCAGGCCATCGGGCCGGGGCCTCCGTCGCCCCCAAAACAGGAGGCGCAGGCGGCTAGGGCAGCCCCAACCAGCACAAGCTGAGCCTTGGGACAGTCAGCTTGAGAGCAGTGTGCTGGCGTGCTCTGAGCGAAGTCTGGCGTGTTCTTTCCTGGAAGCCCTAGGTGTCAACCGGGCAATCTCTTGCGCACATTAAGGTCCTGGCTATGATAAGGAAAGCTGCAGCGCCAGCTGTGGTTCCGTAGAACTGCGCAGGCAGGGACCGATGTCGTCTCATATCCACTGGGCTAATGACCACTGAGCTTACGACTGCCCAATCGGCCTACCAACCTACCTTTGCAACTTCAAAAAGTGCCTCCATCCTTGAAAGCACTACAAGCTAGAACGAAGTTCTGCAGCCATGCTTGCAGGTTCAGTTTCATGGAAGGCTGATGTCACACTAAGACAGCTCTCTGCGGCCACACAGCTGGCCTCTTCAAGGGCTTCATCGGCTGTTTCTGCCTCAGGAGGTTTTGGGGTTTCGCACATGACATCTGGTACTTTGCTCTGTGGACCAAGTTCCAGGCAAGTGCTTCTCCTACCGGCCCCAGGACAGGATTACCTCGGGCAGGCTAGAGCTCAAGACCGTGCCGCAATAGTTGTGAACATGTCCATCACGTCCATTCCTAGATTCTAGTCCGTTTGCATTCCTGATTTTTGTGCTCAACGACTGGACCGCATCCACTGGAAGTGGCATTGCTGGCGAGCCGCGCTCAATCAAGTCCTGCGCTTCAGCGAAGTCCTCGTGCGCCATGTCTTGAAACAAAGGGCAGTGGCCACTGCTTTCCCGCAGAGGACAGCGTCAGTCTCGTGATGCGCTTCCGCGTGCAGTCCTCATCCGACCACTGTGCAAGCTCGCCTGCACCAAGCGTATCCAAGCGTAGTCAGGGCATCCGAGTCGCCAAGAGGAAGCTTGCAGCTTCCACAGGCATGCGGCCTCCTTTCAGCTCCTCTGCCAGGGCTTCCAGGGCCTCCTTCAGCTCGTCCTGCTTTCAGATCCCCAATCTGAGCCGTAGGTACTGTCAGCTCTGCCGAAAGCCCTTGGATCGGAAACCGGACAATGCTTCGATTAGAGCAGTTTCACAAGAAACACAAAGCCATCAAGCCCGATCTGAAAGCACTAGCTTTGGTTGTGATTCTCGGCTAAGGCAGCGGTTTCCGCTGGCATCCTCACAGGGTGTGCGTGACATGGCCATCCCAGCTCCTGCGAGACTTCCGCCTTCTCCTCCAGGGACTTTGGATAGAGAAGCTCCTGAGTTGATCGATTCATTGATTGATTAGCTGATTGACTGACTGATTGATTGGTACATGCACTCATACATGGTGACATCTGCCCGGAATGATGAGGCTGCTGACATGCATCAAAGAGGCGAGTTGCCCGAGCCTTCGCATCATCTCGGGAAGGCGCTGCACCTTCGAACGTTTCTGGGTTTGGGTGTGGTTTCTGCTACGTTCGAGGCGGCCCGGGCCGCGCTGCTTTTGTCTTATAAAGGATCAGGAGCAGTTACAAGATTCCATAAGGCCATAAGGGTTCTACAAGGCCTCTACTTCGAGGCTTTCGAAGTCAGTGTTCCATACGCGTCCCATTCTTGCTGAAGATCTGCAGCTGGGCCCCTTGCAAGAGACAGCTGCAGTAGCTGTCGAAAGAGCGTGGGTCCCAGTGTCAGGTTGCCTGCAGATTCGAAGGCATCTTCACCACCATGGGAGCCACCACGTTAACTGCGCTGGATCGCAATGGCCTGGCCTTCGCCAATGTCCGCTGGCGACAGCATTGTCGTGGTGGCCTCAAGAGCCTCAACGATGCATGCTTGAGGCCAGCCAAGAACTAACTTCCGAGACCAACCTGACATTGCCAATCGCATCTTATCTTTGCTGAATGCCCACGGCTATGTGGAGCTTAGGACATTCGTAGCGGCTGTCAGAAGCAGGGACTGGCCTGCTCAAAGTCGTTCTCGAGATCTGTCGGAATCTCCTGACCAAGTCTAGCGAGTGCTTCGATTCGCTTGATACAATGCATGAGCAAAAGCCGTAGCGCAAACGGCTCTGCAAGCGTGCATGTGATTCATGTGTCCTAGCCTGCTCGGTGATGTTGCTGATCACAGCCGGAATATTCTTCAACGTTGCCTCTGGACCCAAACAAGTCACCAGACTGAACGAGTGATGCACCCTGCACGTCTCCATACGTCTCCGTCGTAAATCTGTTTGTTCTTATCTTCCTTGTAGCATGCATCATGGACATGGTTCGGATGGAGCAGGACCCAATTAATCAAGAGCTCAATCAGCTGGGAACATGCACCTGCCTGGAGTACGCTTTCATCTCCCGCCTTTGCTGCCTTCACAGAGTCGATTCTTGTCAGATGTTGACGAAGGGCATAGATTTCCGAAACAATACTGCCGCTGCTGCTACGGCACATTATGAAGCGTGTCTTCACGAAACACAGGTAATGCTTGTCTTATCCTGCTGACCTTAGTCAATGTTATTCATATTTGTTTCTTCACCCTCAGAGTTTGCTGCATTTGTGTGAGAGGACTGGTTGACAGTCTTGCCTCGTCTCTCAGAAAGCGTGGGATGTCCAACCACAGCTTTTCGCAACGGCTGATTTGCAGGAACCCTTAAAACCATGCAAGCTGGTTGTAGACTCCAGCAGCCATCTCCGACACACAGGACAACTGCACGACAAGCCTGCAGCTTCTCCAGAGTTGCCTGGAAGGTCTGCAGGCCTTGTCACTGTCATATGGAGATTCTCACGACGCCGTGATCAAGACTAGCGTGAAAGCTAGTCCAATATTTTACATGTCTATACGGTGCAGCAGCAGCAGCAGCAGCAGCAGCGGCAGAGGCTTCATCTTGCGCTGCCACCATGCGCTGACATGCAGACTGCGGTCTCCAAATCCTACGGTATTGGCGCACGTGCAATGCTGACTTGGCACAAACACACATGCACGCATTCTGCTGATGTCTGAGTATCCTGGAAACAATCTAGGTTAGCTGACAGGCCCAGCTTTTCTTCACCCCAACCCCTCCTCAGTTGAACCGAAAGTCCTACCAAGCTTGGTAGATCTCGCATGTTCGTCGAAAGACAACATATCCGTTCACATCACATGTGATCACGCTTGGCTTCGCCACACTACAATGATGTCGAATGATGTTCACTGCGATGTTGTAAACACACGACTTCACAGTACCGGCCTTCTGAGTAAAGCAGTCGGATGGCCCTGGAGCTGTTCTCCCCGACCACCTGCACCACGTTGACATCTTGATATAACTGGCCACAAAACTGCAAGGAGACTGCCACGCCCACGACAGTTATGCACATCCTGCCGACAGGTTAAAGCGGGTGAAATTAGTCCTGACCTGTACAGTTCATTCAATCACGCAGCTAGCGGAATCAGGGTAATGAACTCCTCGCTTAGGGACCAAGGATAAGAAGATTGGATCACGCAGGCCTCTGCTTCTGCAGGTGCTAGACCTCCGCAAACGCACGAGCAATCAAATGAAGGCCACGGCAAAAAGAGTCTATTTACTTTTGCCGTGTCCCGCCTGCCATGTCGGGCACCGTCTCCACAGCTGGCTCCTTGGGATCCATCCGTCTGCGCCCGTCTTGAACTGTAAGTATACATCCCTGAAGAGCCTCGTCTTTCAGGTGCGCTGTGGAGGCCGTGCCAGCACGTACGTTGCGATAAAATCCACCTTCTCACATCCAAACAAGAACGCACAAGGTCACATGTCCACGACGCATTTGCCTGTGAAGGCGCTCCCGAGGCAAAAGACGAGAGCAGCCGAGGCAGACCGGGCAAACACGGCGCTTGGCCTCAGAGTTGTCATGTAGCCACAATGCCTTCACATGGCTCGTACTGTTGCTTGCAAACCTGTCGTGTCGACCAGTCAAACCGCTAGGATCCGCTGGGGCCAGGGCGTCTGCCTTTTCACATGCTTGCTCTTTGGCACCTCACTGTTGAATATCGCAACCGTGATGTGACAAATTCCCCTGTCTATGTGTAAGTATATGTGCTTTCTTATGCACACATACATACGTACACAAATGCATACGTACCACGTGCGTACATACATGCAGTACTTCAGTCAGTCACATAAGGACAGATCACACAGAAGGTGCATGCGTGCTAAGCACGGAACCACCATGTATGGCAGCTAAGCGCCGATCACGGCTCGGCGGAGCGAGTCGACATTTCTGCTGTTGTCGATCTTCGGTGAGGGCCGGTTTAGCGTTTAGGGTTTAGGGGTCAATGAAAAGCACAGTTTGGAAGTTAGTCGGGAAAAGTCGTTAGCCTTGCTAAGTCGAGGCTGCCTGTTGGATTTATAGGATCTCAGCCTTCGATGTGAGCTGTGAAAGAGAGGCTATCCATGATCAGCTAGAGGCTACTGGCAGCGGTGATCCAAAGCGCAGCTGACATGAGCAGCTCACTCGCAGAAATGCACAGGAAAGTACATCCGAGCGCACCCGTCGCTCAGGCTGTCCAGGGGCGGGATCCTCGGCTTTGTCACTTCACACAAGTGGCAGGATATTGCTGGAATTTGAAGGGCTTTCGAATGAACTGGTTGTTTTGGGAGTAGTTTCCTGACTAAGTCGGCAACACAAGCAGTTAACCTGCTGCCTCGCTTTCATGCTCCACCGTCCTGATGAAACGCATGTGGCGACTGACATGGAGCAAGGACATGCTGCACTTGTGCATGGTTTAAGTGACGTGTAGGCTGATAGCTTGGTGTGCGGTTTACCTTCACAGATGCATGAACAGCCAAGATGAGCCAAGCATCACCTCTTTCTCAGCTTTCCAGCTAACCTCGCCGAGCTCTATGAAGAAAAGTCAACAAACAGCGTAGCACGCCCATCCAGCGCCTGATATTGAGGTCCCACAGGCTCGCCATCATCATCTATGCCTCCGAAGCGGGTCTCCAAGTACAGGGGTTGACCTCAGTGGATTGCGCTTTCTCTCAGCATGAGCGGAGGGTTCTGGGTAAGGCTGCAACCCTCGTCGAGGAACATGCATGAGTAGAAGCCGACAGGGATGCTCCCCCTGGAAACCTGAGCGACCACATGTGACGATTGTCTCCCATGAAAACACACACTTGCAACATCACACAGCATCGCAAGCTGGGGATTCACAGTACTTGCCCGAGTCTCGAAGAGAAGCTTCCAGAGTAACACCACAATCGAAGGTCCACCTTGAGGTCGGCCCGCTGGTGGAGGTAGGCATAGAGCTTGGCTTCTTGCTCTGTGGGAGCCTTCCAGGACTGGGCAACGGGCCTTGTAACCACTTCGACTTCGCCCTATTCACTGCATCTTCGAATGTAAGATTATGCTGATTATGCCAGATTCAAATACGCCATATGATACCCCACATCTCCAATCATCAGCTTTCGACACATATCCAGGTGCAGGACAAAGTGAAGATCAAAACTTGATCTTAGGCCTTTCTCGTCGTACCGAAGCGGATCACCTGACCAGAAAGGGAGTTGGGCACAGGTGGGTCATGGTGGGTACCTAAACAAACATTCTTTTGTGCCAGCGAGTGGACTGAAAGGAACGGAACGAATCATGAGCGAGACAGGCACAGGCAGAGAAGCAAAGGAGACGAAAATGCACATCTTTCAACCAATCAGCTATGCGATGAGTGCTGGGGACCTGCCTTATGGCGGGTGACAATGTCCGTCTTCGGTATGTGAGCATTGATGGTTGGCCTGGCAGATTGTCAACAGAGAAATGCTGCAGGGACAACGGCCATGCCACAATGCGGAACATTAGCCAATCTAAATTCTTCCTGCTGCATTCTCACCTGCTCCAAAACTCTTAGGCAGAGGCTTCGCTGCCGCCATTCATGTGAAGGTCCACGCCCAGGCCCTCAGCAAAAGTTGAGATGAGCCACGCACGGACTTCTTGTGATGCTATGCCTGGAGGATGGCGCCGTGCTCAACTCACAACCACACAGGTGGAGTGCCTTTTCTACCCTCCCACATCCTCCCGCCCCTCACCTGCTTTCACCTCTGATCCCGAAGCGGCCTTGCACTGCAGCGCTCCGGCTCTGGGCCCTCCGCCCGGGCGCTCCAGGCGGCCCGAGGCCCCTACAAGGCCCCCTAACTGGGAGCCCGAAACTGCGGCGACGAGCGGCGACCGAGGCTACCCTGAGACCCGAGTATGCAGAGGACTTCGAGAGGCTCTGTGGTACACTGGAGCGGCGGTGAAAACCATTTCTGCACCTCGTTTTTGGCTTCTGAGAACCTGCCGCGGTGAGACAGCCTACGGCAGAGGCAACTGCTCACATAGGTTCACTCCCCCGTGGAGCCTCAAATCAGGCAGAAGGGCGAAAAATTCTGTGCGATGTCCATGCAGTGTTGCTGCCAGGGAACACCTAACGAGAAACGAGAGACTGCGTAGACGACTTGGAAGGACATGGTATGCGAGAACGACACGGACACTCTTCCGTAGCATTTGGCTTTGCGTAGTTTTACCTGATCACTGTGAGCCACGCAAGCTATTAGTTGCAATTTCCCTCCCGAAGGGAGCTGCCTACAAAGAATGAGGTACGTAGTCAGCAGGATGCCTCCAAGCTCAAGTTAGGCTTGGATATCACTGAATCAGCTACCGGCCTCCTAAAAGCCCTGAACCTAAACGAGGCCGAGCCCCTTCTGATCACCTTAAGCGACCCCTCAAACCTTGCAGCGCGAAAGTTTTCGTATCCTGCAGTCTTACACATCGTCCCAAATGTAGCTTCCCTGAGTCAGCCTAAAAGGCACCCAGAGACACCTAGCCTTCGTCTAGACTGCTTCGACTGACTCAGAGAGTTTGCAGCAACAGCTCGGGCTGTTACGAAACCCAGGATCACACATCACCCGGTACCAGTTAGCTTGACGCCCGCAGCGTCCACTTAATCTGCACGGATGCTTGGGCAACAAACTGCAGTCTGCAAGTACCCCAACAAGCGATGCGATGAGGCTATCATTCCCCACCATCGAGCTACATGGAGATCATAGAGACGCAGCTCCTGAATGCACCCAACAAAAATGGCCAGTGCAGCGCTTTGAGCGGCCACACGACACTTCCTTGCTATTGAAGACTATTGGGTCGCACTGCAGGGCAGCTTCGAACTGCATGTTGCTCGGGCGTGCGACGCGTAGTATGTCTATCAGTATGATAAGTTAGAAACGCAGCTTCTCAGCTCTGAGAACTGCATGGCCTTTGCACGGACTTCACGCAAGCAAGAAGGCAGATGCGTGCATGCTTTCTTGAATGCAGTAAGATCCCGGCCTTGTGGCAGAGGTATTTGGCGATCCCGTACGTGTTCCTCCTGAAGCCACGTCATGGCCAGATACTGAGATGCCGAAGACCATCGACAAGTCCAGAGCAATAACTCCTAAGGACTGTAAAGCCTAAACATACAACATACAACCCCACACACACACACACGCACAAAAAAAAATCAACAGACAGCAGGCGCCTGGCAGCGGCGCCGGGGCTATCCACTCCAGCAGATCGGCAGCATGCGGTACAAGCCATCATTCTCCGAACTCTCTTTCCACACCTCCTCATATCCTTGGAACATCCCCGGTGCTCCAGGAGTCTAAGGGAGCCTCTGTGCAGAATTCCACTCCTGCAGAACTCTACACACAGTACCAACGACAACCAGGCAGGGCACCGAACATGAATCACTTCTGCAGATCCATCGCATGTTCGAAGACACGATCTACACCCACACCTTCTAAGAAGTGCGCATTCGGCGTGCTCGCCATCTAGAATTTGGAACAACCAATTTGAAGGAAACACAACCACAACCTGCCAAAAGACTGTGCGCACCGAGAAAAAGTTTGAACGATGAAAGATTCAATGGAGAATGCAGTGCTTGTCTGGCGTTGCGCCGTCTAGAAAGAACTGCTGCATGAGTGTCCAGTAATGCAGCAGAGTCGAATATAACCCTCGACCAAAAGTCGATGAAAAGTCATTTGCAAAGGGAACAGATGAAGCTACCGCCACTCCCCGACACCGACATTCTACGACTATGGCAAGGCTAAGGCTAAGCACAAGAAAGGACCACCTTACAAGCAAGAGCTTTGAAAAGACAAGAGCAGCACAACTGCGATTCAAAACATGGCCGGGGGAACATGGAGGTGGAGGCGTGGCGTTGACGAGGTTGGACGAGAAGAAGTAGCACCACATAGCACCACCCTGCTTGAGTTAGCCTGTGCTTTCAAGATGCCTGTGCGGGTGCACAGCTCGATCGAGCAGGTGCTCACCCAATTCCTGCTTGGATTGGCAGCTCCCCGATGCAAGACCTGCGACACCAGGACCAAAAAAGAGCCACAACTAAAACATCAGCGAGGGCATGCTGATGCCTCGTTGTCAACCAGCAGGCAAGTGGCACTGGCAGTCGTCATTTGCCTTCTCGCACTCCGGGCTCTGAATTCAGCTCTTCGAAGAGGATTTAATGTATTTTGCTGCCATGGATCGTGTAGTGCTCCTCCCAAGTCTCTCCGTCCGTGAAGGCGCCCGGCACGATTTGCCTCAAACACTGCTCCCCATGGGGCTTCAAGTTGCAAGGCTCAGCGCAATTAGTGAGTATGAAATCTACTCCCGCAGAAGAACGACAAACGGTGTCGAAAGAAGAGGAGTACGGAAACCCGAACGTGTCCAACGAAGCTTATGGAGAGACACAACTTAAGACGGTTCATGCCGAGGCACGTGTTGCAGAGTGATCCTTGCCGCTTCCACAGAATGTGATGAAAGCGCACGCGGCCAGGACCTCATGCAGGTGCTTCTGATACTGCAGCTGGACCGACGATCATGAAAAAGCCACTGCTAGCACAGATTTGCCTCGTACCCAGCACCAGCCAAAGGACAATGCTGCTAGAGCAATCATACGTCCCTTCACCAAGTGCTCTACAGCCAGATGCAGACTCGATGCGGGGTCGATCATTGCCCCAGATATCTGCATGTAGTGCCTGCGCGGGACTTTCAGACTCCGTTGCAAACACGCATGGGGCGCAAGTACACTTGCACCTGTGGACTGCTGCGTGGCGGCGCCAAGGCCCACCCCAGGCCTGACTGCACCAAGAAAACTTCGGGCTTCAAAGTTGGAGGCCTTACGAGACCCATAGATGGCCCTCAGCTTCACATAGAGCAATCGTGGCTCGTGCATGTCAGGAGTTCACACCCTTGTGCCATCCAGGCCGGATCGGCCAAACTCGATCTTTGAGCGGGTCTTGCTTGCTGCTGCACCTTGTGAACTGGTCCCTGGAGGGGGTGCTTGCCTCAAGCACTGTGTGTATGATACATGTGCTTGACAAGGACTTGAAGAGTAGTATTGTCTGGTCATACTGCAGTTACTTTGCTCTGGAATTTCCTCGGATCGCCACTTGTGCGTGACCTCTCTCCGCCCAGCTGGCCCCATCGGCGACAGGTCGAAGAAAGTAACATCTTTCCCAAAGTATGACGCTCTGCGAGTATCTCCCTTGCAGGGCAGCCCGAACGGCAGGATCCCAAATTTATCGAATCGGGACCGTCGGGACGCACCGTCACTCTGTCTGCCTCGAATGAGATTCGGCCAGGAGCCCTCCTTGGAGAGCGCACGGTCGGCCTCTGCATCACGGAGGTGCACACAAGAAAGGACCGGAGAGAGAACCCACAGCTCTCCCGAGCTCTCTTTTCCCGAGGCCTCGTGTGGCCAGAGCAGCCTTTGCAACGCCTTCGGCGGCGCCGGAGCACCGACGGGAAAACGCTCCCAGGCGGCCTGGCGAGCTTTCGGCATGCCGAACACTTTCGGATGCTCTCTGAGCGCCTCTTAGCGCTCTCTTGCTACAGGTACGACCTTGTTGCCAATCAGCGTCCTTCAAACAAAGAGCACCTCTGTTGCAGGAAAATGGCCTTCGTGACGGAGACATAGAAGCGAGGGCCACTGTTGCACCAAGGCGCCTGCACAAAAGGGCTCTTGTTCGATATCCGACACAGCGGCAGCACAGCTGTTCCATGTAAGCAGATGCTGACCCCTCACGGCTTGGCTCTGCTTGTCTGAACCAATGAACGACAAGTTCCGCTCTGGACTGCCGTGGAACAATCATATCACTTACATCCGACGCAAGCTGAACTCGAGGGAATCCGGAAACCTCTTCTTCTTCTGACGGCGGTGGACAGTAGACAGCAACACCTCCACCAGCAATCAGCAAATCGACAATAAACGGGGACTTCATGCCCTCCTGACTCCACTGGTCCGTGCAGTTCCCGCTACCCGCCTTTGGCCCAGAAGCGCCGTGTTACTTCCTCTGCGGCTTCGCCACCAGGGCGGTCGCCGCGGTGCCTGAATCGGCCCAGCAGCGGCTGACACGAACACAGGGCGTCAACGGGGCCAGAGATGCCAGAGACCTTCAGCAACTCTCGGCTCAAAGCGCGTCCAAGGTGCCAAGTGTCTCGCAGCTTCTCCAGCTGATGCTCAACCTCCTACAAGAACTGGGGGGATGTGGCCAGCCGGATGCCCACTGAAGCCGGTGCGACGCTGGCAAAAAAACAACTTCCTCGTGGTGGAGGTCGTACATTTCCTCAACGAAGGATATCAACTCCCAGACCTTTGCACAAGAGAACGGGTGGTTTTGCACTTGTCTGCGCAGGCTGATTGCTGGCAAGGAGCCCAAGGCAGGGGCGAGAATTCAAGGAAGCCCTGTGCGGGCAGTTTCGAGCTGCCTAGCTGCCTTACCCTTCAAGACCCAATCACTGGCCTTGCCAACCAGCTGGCCGAGCTCACCCGCCAGCTTGAAGCCCACATCTCTTTTCCGTTCCTCGCCGAAGCAGGTCTGAATCAGAATCCAGCCATGTCTTGTTGTCCAATCGAAACCCTGTGGTGAGGTCGAACTACAGGCCAGGAGTCGACCTCTTGACTTTGGCCACATGCGTTGGCCTGCAAAGCCACACACTACATCATGTTACTCTGTGCTCTGCCGTCGCTGGCCTTCTGCCGCTTTGTCCGGCTTGTTACGCCATTCTCCGCGCAAGCCTTGGAAGCGCACTACAAGCGGATCTTGCGTCACACCGACTCTCTGCATAAAGCCACGAAGCATGTTTGCCTGCTGCAGTCATCTGCGCGGCACGGGCTCAGAGCTAAAGTGGCGGCGGAAGCAAGGGATGTCTCTCGCCGTCTCATAGGGCTATGCCACAAGTAACCAGGCTTCACTGAGCTACTGTCGCCTTGTAAGTCTTGTCTTGGGTTTGTACACGTGCGGAGTCGAGAGGCTGCAGGGTGCCTCGCCGCACGCCGATGTCGTGCCGTAGCTGCTCTGTGCGACGTTGCCTCAGCAAAAAGCACAAACCATGTAAATCACACAAGCTTCAAGTTGAAGCCGTAAAGATGCTCACCTGCAGTTTGGAACTGGAGCGTTTTCGGTCAAGGGGTATGACAAACAGTGGGATCAGCCGGCGCAGGTCAAAGAAGAAGTGCATGGAAGGGCCGAATTAGGGGCACCAATTCATGAGGATTTGGTGACGGCACGAAAAAAACTAAACTGAGCTCCGGATAATGAGAGTGAGTGCTCTACGGTACTTCCATGTAGAGCTCCCGCCACGTGTACATCTTTCTATAAGCGCCGGCAAAGCCATTCTGCGGATGCAAGGATTCGAGCAAAACGACTCAAGGAGCGCCGATTCAAATACGGCGGTTCACAACTGAGGCGCTGAGGGTGCACAGTGGGGATCGAACGTCATCACTCCTTTTGGCGGGCTTTGCACATGCCCACTGCATCTTCGAGAACAGCACATGCTCAACAAACAGACAAGACGAGGATTCGCCCAAAGTCCAACAGCTGAGCTTCGATCGCGTGCACCCGGCGCAAGAAGCATACCAAGTCAAAATACTGCCAAGGGGCATTCTCTCGAGGCTCTCGGCGATCCCTGCCCTTGCACCGCTGCTGGCAAGCCTCGAGGCTGGCTCCGCGCACAGTTCGTGTAGTCAGTAAATCTTCACATCGTCATCCGAAACTTGTCTAAGTTTGTCAAGAGTAACGGGGCCTGGCCAAGATTTTGTTCCGCAAGGCCGCTCTAAGGTCAACTTGGTAAACACTAACAGCAGTCAGAGTGCTACGAAAGCCTGCCAGCAAGCTCAGCCAACTGCTGTTTCAGCCACCGATTCTCGCTCTCAGCTAGGTCCAGAGCGCGCTGGTGACCTCGCTTCTGACCGTTCTGACCGTTTAAGTCTCAGCCGTCCAACCACATCATATCTTTTCGGCTCCCCACGCTCCATCTCGATCTTCTTACGCTCCCGAGTAGCGGCCAGGATCTGGCAATCACAACCAGCTGTTGCCAGCACGCGACTGATTGAAAATCTGCGGTCCGCACTCCCTGTGCGATGCCTCCCACCCATTCCCTTGCCTTAACAAGCATAACTGCCTAGCACCCGTCAGCATGGTCAAGTTGCACAATATGCTGATAGTTTCACCGCATACCTACAGGTACAGGCAGCGAGCGGCAGACACACCGGCTGCGCACGTTGTGGCTGCTCTGTGAGCAATTTGCTGCTTGACTGGCCTGCTGTCTGCTTTGTGGCATCCCCCAAGATTCCTGCCAGACACACCCACATGTTGTGACGTGCCTCCTCGTTCTGGCGCTGGCTTAGGCGCAAATCAGCATCCTGTCGCGGGCTGCCAAGCAGTGAAGGCTAACAAATGGGACTTTCAGCTTGTTGGGGGGCCCTCACAATCATGGTGCTGTTTCAAATAGAGTCCAATGGCATCCATATTAAAGTCCCCGATTTTCTGAGTTTCTCTGAAACTTCCACAGCTACGGCTGCAAAAGGTTTCCGAGCCTGGTAGGAAGCCGTGCTCACGTCGCCGAGCATCAACTGCACGTCACAGTGGCGGTTCCTATAAGGTCCTGTACCGGTTGCTGCTGAATCGCTGCTATACGGGTTTTGTTTCAGTGGCACCAAGCAAACTCGCAGATCTTGGGTATGCTTTCGGTGATTACTGGGCTGCCAGCCCTGAAACCCGACCATAGCCGGCACCATACTTTCCAAAATAGGTCTGACATGCATGCCGGCCTGAAAACGAGCCGAACAAAAGCACAAGCAATGTCCCGACCCTCCTCTGGACGCAGCTGCCCTGCCCACCTGTCCCATGACCACCTGGGAAAGGTCACCTTTTGCAGCTGAGTCTGATGCTCCTCGGATGAAGTCTCTGCCAGCAGTCGCCAACATGACTCGCACGTGGGGCTAGACCCGTCTTCTCAGACTGCCGAGTGAGAATGCTACTGATCCATGTGCGGTTACGGCACGCCGATGGTTGCTCGCTTGCGCTCGAAGCATCCTGGGTCAAACTTGCACGGACTGTTGCAAGAAGGCCGTACACTCGACTGTTGATTGGCTCTAGGCCATCCATGCACTCCACTAACTCTTGCAAGTACAACGAGACTTTCGTCTTTTGAGGCATCTGTCAGGGACTCTTCCAGAAGAAACTGGACACCTGGGTATGCGGTTACAAGAAGATCGCGAGAGAAACGTCTGAAAAAAGCCAGAACTAGTCGCAGTGAGTGGTACTGTTACAAAGAACTTGCAGAATGGCATGAGTTCTAGCAACAGGTAATGAAGCAGCCCTGCTCAGATATACATGTACAAATACGCATCACAGACATAGATATGAGGCCTTGACATAGACATAGACTTAGACACGTATATACCTTTTCTGATGCCTACACCTACACCTATACCATGTACCTATACCTACATACCTATACCTATACTAAAAAAACTATACCTACACAAAAACATATACACATACATGTCGGTATACAGATACATCTAGAAGAAACATGCACATATGCCAACATATATATATATATACATATAAATATATATATATATATATATATATATATATGTGTGTGTGTGTGTGTGTATATATATATAATACATCAACCTGCACATACACAGACACAGAGAGAGAGACACACACACACACACGCGCACAAACAGGATCAAACCCGCACATGCACGCGCAAGCGAGCAAGCGCGTGCGCCTCCAACACACATGCGCCATGCGATGCAGCACATTGCACGTGCTTGTGCATGCATTGATGCACGCACGCATGCATGCGAACGCATGCATACCAACGAACCGAATGGCAACATGATGCGACATGTCCTGTTTTGGAATCAAGAAGGTCTCAGTACACTGCACTCTGTGACCGGATCTCGCCTCTCGCGCTCGAAGGAGAGCTCAGCCTCCAAAGCCTCCCGCTCCTGACATGGAGCCCGGAGCCCGGTCTCTTCGGCGAAGCAACTTCGCCTGACTCGGCTCCTTCTGCCTTTGCGCTGAAAGACGTTCCAGCTCCATCTGCATGGTGCTGCTTGCCTAGAGCGTCAGAGTACTCATGATGTGCAGGAAGTAGCGGCTTTCGAGGTGTCAAAGATCTTCTCAAGTGTACCGGTTTGAAATGTGCAGAAACGACGAGCCTGCAGTGTTTGGGAGCGCCTTTCCTCCACCTCTTTCTGAGCTGAAGAAAAAGCAGCGGCCTGCATGAACATGCAGACGAAGTCACCCGCACCAGCCCAAGACACTTTCCCCTCAGACGCCTCCACAGGTGAAGTGCAACAAATCTATACTACTGGCAGTAGAAGACTTTCACTATTCGGGTGCGCACTGCGCTTCCTTGCTTAACGAAACTTTTTTTACCCGGCATGAAAGCTGATGTGCTACTTTCCGTAATCATGTGGGAGAGGACAATGATGATAATGCGACTGAACATGATTGCACTGGTAATACTAAGGACAACGAAACAGCAATGAAAAACAAGTCATTGCAATAATGACCACAAGAACGACAATGATAACGACAGTAATGATGACAACAATGATGACAATTATTGTTCACAAGTCTGTTGAAATGATGCGTCGTCTCTTCAATCCTCTTCTGCGTCTCTTTAATACGCGTATGCTTCGGATTTCTCCCACATCTGACCAAATCTGACGGAGTTTTCCAGGGGCAAACATGATGAAAACGGCCTGTCGTTCCAAGGCCTTTTGCACTGGAGCGCAAAGTTCTTTGACCTGTCTTTGCATAGCAGATCTTATATATATATGCATAACATGGGCATGTGCGTGTAGGCATATATGTATGCAGGTATGTAGAGTGCTCTGTAGCCTTTACTTCAATACATACATACGTTGTGTATGTATATTGTATGCGTACATCTACATGATATGTCTGTATACATGTGTGTATATATATATACACTCGTATACACATGTCTACCGATACACACTGACATGCAAAAATATCACTCAACAAAAGTATGTAGCAATCAGTGAAACGCACCGTTCTGCCAGAAGCTTGCATGCACAGCTGAAGGGCATGGATTTGGAGGAAGCCAGATCTGTGCTCACGAAACGATCGAGTGCGCAGAAGAACCCAGTGAAAGCAGAAAAGCTGCAGCGAGAGCGCACCCCAGGTCCAAGATCACGAACGGCTCTGTCTCCCAGAAAGGGGTCTCTAAAGCTTTGCTGGTGTCGCCCCAGCCATCGCAAGGATGTGCACGACCCTCTGGCTCGAAGTTCATGTTGGTGCACTGCTCATCATACGTCTAAACCCTTAACAGTGCCCTGCCTCGCTTGGCTCTACCTTCCAACTAGTAGCGGCATAAGAAACCGCAAAGGAAACGGCTTCCAAGTCCGGGACCTCGTCAATCTGTGACTCCAGCAGCTGTGCCTTGCGCCGTGTCTCCACCACGGCTTGCGAGACCTGGCTGACTCACCAAGACCAGAATGGGATTCATATTGGCACATTCTATTCTATTGCACGTTATTATATTATATATAATAAAATCTAATAATTATTATTTAGATATTGCATAATATGTGCGTGGGTCTCTACGAGGCGTGTGTCGCCGTCTGGAGCTTTCCTGTCTCTGGATGGCCTCTGTCTGCGATGCTTCCGCTGCAGTCTGAACGTCCTGCATTTTGGCCTCCAGCAGATCCTGCTGGGCTGCACACGAGAGCATTGTCATACAACGTTAGGACATGCTCTGGGACAGGGTCTCTGAACCAGAAACTTCTCCGCAGCAGGATAGCGAGAGAGTGGGCTTGGCACCGGAACCTGATCCCGGCGGAAGTGACCCTCGCCGACTCCTTTATGTCTTAAGAAGCGCTTCCGCAGGCATCAGTCCTTCTTCCTCGTAGTTTCCTTAACTTGATCCTGAAAAGGTCTCGAGGCAAAAAAATGCCAGATGAACAGCGCTTCTTCGACAAGAACCGACCCGGCCTTAAGGCTCCTCACCTCCTGGGCCCAAGAGTTTCGGGCCTCCTTCATGGCATCCCGGGCTTCCGACTCGAGGCTTTGCGTCAGCTCACGCTGTGCCTTCCACATTGACCGTTCCTGACATGTCTGAAGGGGGCTTGAGAGCCATCTCGGGTTTTTGTTCGACTCTCCAGGATACAACAAACCGCTACAGACTGCAGGACCCGCAAAGCTTGCAGAGCGACGTCACAGCTGCAAAGGTAAGAACCGAGGCTCTCGTTCCAGGGAAGCTTTGTCCCTTTGCAAACTTGCCTGGCAAGAGAAAGGAAGATTAAATCTGAAGTAGATCATCCGCGCGTCGCTCACTTTCTCCCAGATGTGACCCGGGACTACAAGTACCGCTGGCAGCAATCTCGGATCAAGCCCCAGGGCCCAATCTCATTAGGGGAAGATTTGGAGGATGGCCAAGACGTAGCTCTATGGCCACGTGCACACCGCAATCAGCCGCTGAGCGCTGGTCAACATCATTGATCCAAAAGCCAAGATAGAAGGCATTGTGTTTGGGTTTCCCCAGGTTTCCTCCTTTGGGCTTGTAAAACGAACTTTGAGCGCATAGTTACACGTACATCATGCTGCATCTGCGACTCATGTTCAGTTTAATGTGGTACTGCTGGCACTCTCGGAAGCATACCAGTACAGAGCTGTTTAATTGCCGCACACTGACATGTGCTACTCGTGCCGCAACGTGAATGGCCAGGCCTCACGAATAGCCTCCTGATCGATTGTGTTGCTATCCCGAGGGTATCGTTTGCGGTACCATTTCGAACCTTCAGCAACTAGCATGAAAAAGGACGGCAGAAGCAGAAGCACTGGCAGTAAAAGCAGCAGTAGCAGTCGTCGTCGTTGTCGTGGTCGTGGTCCTGGTCGTGGTCCTGGTCGGGGTCGTCGGGGTCGTCGGGGTCGTCGGGGTCGTCGGGGTCGTCGGGGTCGTCGGGGTCGTCGGGCTCGTCGGGGTGCAGAGGTCGTCGTGGTCGTCACGGACGTCGTGGCCGTCATCGTCGTCGTAGTCATTGTCGTGGTCGTCGTCGTGGTGGATGGACGTCGTGGTCGTCGTGTGGTGGCGGTCGTCGTCGCAGTAGTAGTAGTAGTAGTCGTCGTCGTCGTCGTCGTCGTCGTCGTCGTCGTCAACGCTGTGGTGGTGGTGGTGCTGGTGGTGGTGGTGGTGGCGGTGGTGGTGGTGGCGGTGGTGGTGGTGGTAGGAGGAGCAGCAGCAGCACGGCAGCAGGAGCAGGAGCAGGAGCCGGAGCAGGCGCACACTATGCTTAGGTGTTGAAGCTGGGGTATTGTTTTTGTTCGCATCCTCGTGCCGTTTTACAAGGCTAACGAGGACTAACCTAAGCTACGGAGATGAACAGAAACTTGCGGCATTATATGATAATGCGCCTCTTGCAAGTGAAGTTGAGAGCAGCGGGCTCGGTTTTCGGCCAGCTCCTGCAACGGCAAACTGACACCTCCATGTCTGCTCAGCCAAGGCTGGCAGCAGTCGCAAGTGCAGAGATGCGAGCTGCAAGGTGGTAACGACTAAGTTAACAATGACCGAGTCAGTAGTCCTTCTCCAATGTGTCCAGCACATCCTCCAATTCTCCAAACTCTGCCTGACAAGCGCAGAGGCTCCTACTGCAAGTGCTGGTGCGGTGTCGTAGAATGGGATCTTTCAAGAAAACTTCCTAATACACTTCTGAGATCAGGCATCGTGAGATCAGACCCTTTCAAAATGTTGACACGCAACCTCGTAATAAGTGCATCATGGCCCATCTCAGTCGGGCACCCTTCCATCAAGACCAGCGTCTCTACGTTCCCAGACCACCGACAAGAATGCAATCCTACCGCCTACCTGGTTGACATGAGGTTGACAAAGACTTCACCAGGTTGAACCTCCTCGGCAATGTAGCAGACAAGCTCAAAATGTCGTGGCAGGCACTCGTTCACTGCCGCTCGATAAAGCACAAAGATGCACAAAGCATGCGCAGAGCAATAGAAAAGCGAGTGGCAGCGCTCAGTCAGTGATGCACGGAAGAGAGTTATGACACACGGCAGAACAGGTCGAAGAGACCACAGCACTTCCTGTGGAAAACTGCGTGCCTCCGCAGCTTCCGCTGCAGCGTGCAGAGCGGCCCCAGCAGCAGAGTCCACCTCTCTGATTGCGGCCTCCAGGCTAAGATGAAACAGTGAAACGTGAAGCTGCCCTGACTAACCAGGGAACAGCAGAAACGCGAAGCTGCAAGTCGCAAAGACAGCCTCGCTGGCCAACTGCATCTCGACTCGCTGCGCTTCCATCTGCTGTCGAACCATCTCCTGAGACCAGAACAAACTCCCGAGATGGAAATTCGCTGTAATGTAGTACAGTAGCCCTTACTGCATAATTGACTCACACTGCACAATCTGGGATGACAGCATTGTCGCTGAGGGCTTTCTGCAGTGCCTTGCAAGGTCTTCGCACAAGGCGGAGTCCGAATGTACGCTTCGTGCATTCGAGCACCTCCTCAGCCTTTAGCTGCCGCTCGAAGGCATCGCGGTGCTCCTCCTGCCACAGGGATGATATGGGAAGATACTGCAAGTGTAGGCTCCGGTAGCAGCCAACCCCCGCGCAGTCTGAAGCTCCTGAAGCATCTGACGCTCCTGTGCCACAGCCTTAGTTGGCGCGGCCAGGATTTCAAACACGACAAGGCATGAAGTATCATGCACTGCTCCATTCTTACGAGGCGGCTTCTCAGACTTTATGTCCTTTCAGGGGTTTCGACTTTCGAGTTTTTTTCGAAGCCGCCAGGAAGCTCGGAGTTCAGCTTCGAGGTACTGGACCTGCCCCGTGCTGCACAGACGAAATCTGTGTGCTCCCAAAAACATGCACATCGGCATATGCAAGACAGCAAATACCACCAAGTACGAGTACCACTACGTCGCAGCGCTCTTTGTTTGCACCTCGGCCCGCAGCTCGTCCACGTCAACTTGGAGCGAAGCGCTCTGGACAACACCATCTCGAAGCACAGAGACCCTGAATGTGAGCTTCTTTCAAGATGCCGCACGTACAGCAGCTGCGAAGCAACATGTTCCCGACAAAGAGGACTTGTGACATGTCACTAGAAGAAGCATGTGCTGCACCGCCCGTCCGTCCCACCAGGGTAGAGGAAGGGGCAGCCATCTCTCTGTCTTTCTTTTCTTTCTGCTGGGCATAGGGGTCGCATAACGGTCTGTCTGTTTGTCTGTCTTCTTCCACAGGGTATTGGGAGCGTGTCAAGCTCCCCGGCTACTAAGTTTGTCGGGCACATGGGCTGGGGTGTGAAAGCTACACGGACGGTCTCTGTCTCTCTCTCTCTCTCTCTCTCTCTCTCAGGCATAGGGTCGCGTCAAGCCCCCAGCAATGAGGGCCGCCGTTTCGGACATTTCAGAGGGTGTGAGAGTCATTGAAAGTCCGGGTGTGTGTGTGTGTGTGTGTACAATCGCAAGGGCTACAGCCATAAAAAGACGTCTCTCTGTCTGTCTGCCTCGCTAATCATCGTCGGAGGCTTCCACAATTGACTTTGTTATAAACAAAGCAAGTGGCTGTGCCAGCTTAGACTCTTTACTTGATGGACTCAAAGAAGAGAATCTCTCAACTTTTGCGGTTAGACTCTACGGACTCAAAGAAGAAAATCTCTCAACTTTTGGGTTATGCCTCTGTCTGTCTCAGCCTGCGCTGTACCTGACACTGTGTCTTCCTGCGGGCGTATCCGTGCCCTCCAAAGGGAAGGGGGAAGCCCCCAACCCTCTGGTGATTTGGCTCCCTGGTCTGTTGGGTGCAGCAATGTCGCGTTTTTTTGAAAAGTTTGGGGTTTGTGCTGGACGGTAACGCGAAACCACCTGACCCAACAACCCCAACCTGCATCGTACGTGCACTCTCCGATTGTCGGTCGGTGGTTTCAGCGCGGTCTCTCTGCGTTTGTCTTTGTCTCTGTTTGTAGTTGTGCCGCGATGTCTCCATCATCCTGGATGCAGGTGTCCATGTCTGTGTGCCTGTGTCTGATTATCCGTCAGTGTTCCGTGCTTGCGTGTGTCCAGGTGTGTGTCTGGGTTGTGGTTGGTTGCTTGGGGCCTGGGGTGGTTTGCAGTTCTCTGTGCTCACGAGGCACGCGGCTCCAGCTTCGTCAGAAAGGCTGCGGGAGATCATGGAGCCTCACACGATCGCGGGACATGGCGAGTGTCGGAGACCAGCTCTGAACACTCACGGCCCAGGCACGTTGGGTCTCCATCGCCAAGAGCTCAGCGGCAAGCCGCGACGTCTCCTAGCCGGAGTCGGAGTCTCCTTCCTGGTCCCTTATTTAGTGTGCTCTTCGGTCCTCGGCTGCTTGATTGCTCGCAGCCTCAGCCTCAGCCTTTTGGGGCGGAGTTTCGTTAGGTTCGCTCGTTGCAGTGCTTCGCCGTCGCCGTGCCTTTAGTGCAACGCCTCTGCGCTCCCAGGATTCCAGCTCGCAGGCTGCGGTCTGGACAAGGCTCGCCGAAGCTTTTCAGGACAGTTTGGCACAACTACACTACACCCCCAACTCGATCTCTAGGCCTCCTTGCTTGATGCCAGCTGTGCCTGCAGGTGCTGTATTTTTTCCTGCGGCATATCAAACACTTCGTGGAGGCCAAGACAAGGCCGAATTGTGTGTGTGTCATCAAGAAGCGTGCAGAAGCTGCAACAGAAGCACGACAACACGTCCTCTGTCTTCGCGGCTTCCGACACGGCCGCTGCATCTACTTGGGCAAGCCGCGCAGACATGGTGCTACTCAGCGTTGCCAGCGCAGCCTCCCAGGTAGCTGACAGCTCTGGATGCTCGCGCAGCACAAGATCCCTCCCGATTTGGAACCAAATTTTCCATGAGCTCAAAAACTCCTACATCCTAAACCCTCCACAAAAAGAAGTTGGGCCCTAGAAATCCTAGAAACACAGCTTAACCGAGTCCGAGTCCCGAGCTCAAGTCGACTGCAACAAGCGTGAGAGTTCCCGCGCCTTGCTGCTGTCCAGCCACTCTCGCACATCAATGGCTGCTGCAGTGTGCTGAGTCCTGGAGTCATGCTGACACATGCTGCAGCTGTCGAGGAATTCACGGACCGACCTGCACTTGACTTTCAGGCTGAACAGAGGGTGGGCCCTGATCGTTTTTTGCCCGTCCTCAGCCTAGCAATCTCCACTTGCGTCGCAGCCAGCTCTTCCTGAGAAGGCATTGACTCGTGACTGGATGCCACCGGTGGATACGCATAACCGCATAACCTGGCGATATTTCACAGCTGTGTCTTGCAGTCGACGAAGCCCCTCTGACAAAAACCCTGCACATTGCATGCTCGGGTCTCGCATCGACTGCAACCTCGACCGAAGGGTATCCTGACAGGTGAGTTTGCGACTGCGACACATAACACTAGCTCAGCAGAAAGCTCAAGGGCTATCCTACCCAGAGTGCAACGACGGAGCTTGCGTCCTGCTCACTGCGGAAGAAAGCTTGGCTGCGGCTCCGCAGATCCTGGCAACATCGGTGCAACATCGGGACACCATCTCGAGGCGCTGTTCGGCCGTTTTTACAGGGTCCTCGAAGTTCGCCTCAAGCTCCATCTCCCGCGTGGCCTCGACAATCGCTTGACACAGCTTCAAGCACGAAGGCGTTCGTAGACAGACTGTCCAATCCGCTCAAGCTGCTCTTTGCCTGATCTCGCTTCAGCTGCAAGACGATCTGATCTGTGGAGCCCTGGCTATGCGAACGAGACCTGGGCAGATAGCCAAGTGTCGGTCATCAGCATCGAACTTCCTACCCAGACCATGCTTGGCCATGCCTTCCCCGATGTGTCGATCTCATGATGCTCCGAGTCTCCCGCTCTGTCAACAGCACCATCCTTACGCAAAGAAGCCGAGTCTGCCCACAGCAGTTGCCGGCTCAAGACTAGCCGCATACTGTGCCACCCGTACCGTCTCAAACTGTACTTCGGCCAGGCGGCTGCTGCTGCTTGGTCAGTGCCTCCTGCAGACGGCTTTCGGAATCTGCTGCAGCTGCGACCTCCGAGGTCAGCTCCTGAAATCGCCAGGAATCGCCACACAGCCCCCGTCTGTCTCCTCTCCCACTCCTCCTTTCGGGCAGTTTGCCTGTCCACCTCCTTGCTGAGGGCGGCGTGCCGCTTCTGCACCTCTCAAGTTGCTGACACCGAACGTTAATTACATCGAAGGCCGAGCGCGGAGGGACACTCAGGGGCGTGCAGAAGCGAGGGAAGCAGCCAAAGCTGCGAAAGTCGCGGCCTCATAATGAGTCACAGCAGCGACAATTATTGAGCAAATCCCACGCAAGTACTGCAACTGCCTAAAGAGCACCTGCGAATAAACTGGTCCAAGCCACCGTGGCACTGTTGCCGGGTGCACGTGCCACGCGCAGTTGGTCCTTGGCTAGCGGAAGACCAAACCTACCCTTCTTCATTGTTTCATTGCTGCTTCTATGGCTGTCACCGACTATCATGATGTTGGTTCTGCTCCCAATGCTACGCTTGCTTCTACCTCTGTCGTTTTTAGTGCAGCTGCTGCTGCTGCTGCTGCTGATACCATAGCCATAATGACTCTACTGCTCGGAATTATTTATGGCCCATGCGTATCATTCAGTATTAGCAGTACCCGTCTTTTATCTCCATAAAACAGCCGCTTCCAGGATCCTTCTTAGCATTGCTGTTTCTACTCGTGCTTTTCTTACCATCGTGAGCGGTGCATAGCGGTGGCACTGTCATCACCATCATAATTGCTGTGATGCTCCCTTGATCGCTAAGCGGTCGTGATGATGGTCGTGGGTGGTGGTGGACACGTACCAAGAGCTCCCGAGCCCATTGAGTTAGCACAAGCGTGGTCTTCTCCTGCAGCTGCAGGCCATGAGAGCGCAAGAAACTGACCAAAGATATCAGGAAAGGGGCTTGCACTTCGTCGCAGAACTGCCAGACTCGTCGAAGCAGCCATCCTCCAGAACGGACCAGAATAACAAAGCACCTTCAGGTTCTGGGCTTGGCGTTTGGGATTGAGGGTTTGTGGGTTTCGGGCTCTGGTCACACCGACAGCAGAAGAGGCTACATCTGAACGCCTCTCGCGCACGAAGCTGTTTTCCAGTCCTTCGGCCACGTCCTCCTCGGGGAGGTCGCTTCGACAGGCCTCCTCGCGAGGCCCAAGCATCTGTTTTAGGATTTAAGGTTTCAGACAGCAGCCCTCCTGCTTCTGGAAGATATGACTGGTTTGCGCTTCGATGTCCTTTCTCTGCTTGTTCTCGGCACTGCCCATCTGGATTCATCATACCACCCATCACAGCTTCACTACATACTCAACAGCTATACTAAATGAAAAGCACTTCGATGCTTGTGCCTAGTTCGCTTATGAAGATGCAACTCAAACCGACCGTAGAATCCCTGCCAGACGACGTAACTGTCTTCAAGCCATTCACTCACTCACACACATGCACACATGTTCACTCATAAAGAGGCTTCCAGTCCTTCAGACGAAGAATGGAGATGTTGAGAGACTGAGAAAGCGCTTCCAGAGTGCACTTGGCATCCTCCTCTGGCATGGAGCAGAACAACTTGAACAAACCACAGTTGCGCCTCCCGTGCGGCAAGTGAGCTCAACAGAAACATGTTGGAACTTCTTGGGTTCTAAGATATTGACGGTCTCAAACCGAAACACAACAATAGTTCCCCATCCTTTGCTCCAGCTTCCCCGGCGATGCGCTGCTGCAGAGACTGGCCCGGGAAGTGCAAGACACAGCGGAGAATGTGGGTGCTAGTTGCCCCTGCTGCGACCACTGGCATGGTCCCCGAACAGCATGCGAGCTCTTAGAGAGACACCAGAAGTGCAACCCGTGCGAGATGCTAGCCGGAGGGCTTCGGGCGGATACATGCCGCCCCGTGCTGAAGCAACTGTAAGCACAGGAACCTCCAGGCAGGAGGGCTGAAATCCTGTCGACAATGACCTCGACATGCTGCACATGCAGTACAGATCGTGCACATCAACATTGACATCATTGATTTGGTCTGCTTTTCTGCCCGAAGCCTCTCAATCTGAAGTCAGTACTGTTGGGATTGATGTCAACGGGTTCTTGAACTTCATGTCTGCTTCGGTGTCCGACAAATCTGATTTGAGACTTCCACTCAGCCGCCACGGGCGAAGTTCTGGAGGTTGGAAACTCGCCACGACCGAACCTGCATTCAAGCAACGATCTCAAATTGCCAATGTGGCAATACGACCTACAATCATAAGCTGCAATGCCATTATCCTGCAAAAGGTACCTCTAGCATGCTGGAAGAGGAGTATGTAGAATATGATCAGTGCACAGGAATAGAACAAGCTACTCTTCCGGATCTTTAACTATATTATAAGATGTATTAGATGTTATTTTATACACTGTGTTATATTGATTTGTCATATAGTGTACCATATATTGTGTTGGATACTGTATTAAGTGCAGCCCGGGCAGCCGAGTCTCACCAGGTCGGGGCAGCGGCGGCAGAGGCGCCGGAGCCACAAGTGGCTCCTCGAGACCGGAGCCCAAGACTTGTTCGAAGTAGCGATGGTACGACTCTATCTTCGTACGCTTTGAGTAGCCAAAATACAACATGCCTGACATGTTTGATTTATGTCTTCACTGGAACTAGTGTTTGTGTTGACACTCGGGTCAATCCCGTGGATAAATATTAAGCTGGATAGTATGATCATGGTTTTTCGTAGCAAGTATTGTAAATCCTGAAGTACTGAAAAATCGAAACGTTACTCTAAGACACAAAAATATCAGAATAAAGGAAAACTCATCATTTCGCCTCGGCCCGGGTTGAAGCGGTGAAAAGTTCTCTATGGTTCCGTCTGTCCCCTCTGAAAACCTCCTTCCCTCCTTCTTGATCCCCTCCCCAGTCACCCACCCCGTGCTCAAGTGGCCACTAACCCCGCCCCCTTTAGATTTGAATCGTACCCATTAAACTGGTCTTTTCGACCCTTCCCCAGCCCCCCCCTCCCTGACTGAGCAAAACCGGATCTGTTTGGAAGCTACTGTTCGGGATCTTATGCAGTTCGCACTTCGGATTTGTTGTGTTCTTGCGTCGCGTACGCTTCAAGACAAGCCCAAAATGGCATCAATCTGACGCCTGCGCGTGCTCAGGGTTTTGGGCTCAGGGTTTAAGATTTGGGGCATACGAATTGTGGATGCAGTCGCGCTTAAGTCCAGGCTACAGGGTGTTTTCAAATATGGATGGTTTAGGACTTTAGATCCCAAGGAACCGTGCTGTCGAATGAAGGCCTTTATTTGTCTCTTATATTCTACCATATCAACTACAACCTGTGACAGCATATCGGCTTTCCAGCCATCATTCTCCCGGATACCCAAAACGGCGTATCCCTCTGTTCGCTTCGCTGCGCTCCTCGAATTTATGTTGATTTCAGGACGCTCATGCAGATCTTGTTTAAATTCATTCATGGCTGCTGTAAGCTGCGTGCATGCACATCCCTGCCATCGATTGGGAACACTAGTGCTGCGAGCCTTTGCTGTGACGGATCTGGATCTGAACGATGGCTAATCCTGAACACTTACGCTGAAAGCACAGGGGCGACTTCAGCACGATCATCGTGGACGGAGTCGTCTTTCGAGAGGTTGGTTGCCACGGCCATCATGTGAAAGTGCTCTCATCGGCACGATTCAGATAGCATCGAACACATCAATGATCACTTGCACGCAGGGCTGTACCACCAGGTTGAAGGTCGCTGTCATTCATAGGTTCTGCACTTGGCAAATGCCGCCCAGCTTGTTAATCCTAAGTTCATAGTGCTGCTGGTGCATTTTGGACCAGCGAAGTGCCCCCTCAAATCCCGTACTCCAGCGAATTTGCTCGCAGCCATGTGTTCTGTGACCTCGATTGATAAAGAGTCCATCTGCATCTCTTCGTAATGCGACAATATGCTCGCTGAAGCGGATCGCAAATACTTCCGCATAGGCTGATGGAATGGACGGGCACTGCAACGAGACAACGCCCCTAGATGATTATTTAGATGTTACGGAAAAAGCATAGACACGCGAGATCGTGACATTTGCAGCAAAGTTCCCGCATGGAGCCAGAAAACGATTACCATCAGCTTGGGCCCAGAAGCGCCCATGGTCGACGTTTTTCCGTTTCATATTCGTTAGAGGAAACAAATGCAGATGATTCATTACAAATGTAATAACCAACTTCTGAATAAACCGGTTTTACTCACACACACACACACACTTTGGCTCAGCACGAGTGACTGCGACGAGCGACTGACAGGACAAGACGATGAAAAAACAGAAGAGCAGGACATGAGCTGACGATTGATTTTGGTGCGTAAGCATGCCAGACGCCAGGAACGGCATGCGAAAACTGATGATCCGTTGCGGTAAGGTTCTGCCCCGTGTGCCAGACTCAAGGAATGGCACACCAAATCAGCTGCCTTCGCGGGGACCCAGGGCGGATGCCTGCAGGTAAGTTTTCCTGGAGTGCGGAGGGGAGCTTCGTTGGACAGAGCCCCTCCGCACTCACTCTGCCCCCCTGCCCTGACGTGAAAGCCGCCATGTCCAGAGACGTTTACGCTCACCGGCCCCGGGGCTATCTCAGATGCTAAGGCGGGTGCACTGCAATGCGGTGTGCTCGTTTCCTCGCAAGGACACGAAATAGATGCAAACAATGGGCCGGTGCCCAAATGTAGTGGGCCGGTGCCAGGAGGCCTTTGCCCGGTGCGAAAAAATATAAACCCATATAAACCCTAAACCCCTAAACCAGCGAAAAGGACAGGACCAAGACGAAACTAAGCACTCGTGCAGTTGTCCTGCGCCGAACAAATGCTTGCGACAGAGGAAGTGATCTTGGAACATTACCGAGACAACAAACAACACGACGAAACGATCAGAAACGCAACGTTCACGGAGAGCTCCTGCACTTGCACTGGCCCTGCACTCACAACTGGACATGTTTGCACAGTCACTGGCAAACCCTCACTGCCCGAAGCCTGCGCATTGCGTTGCTTGGGCCCTCATCCCAACCCTCCGAAAATCACGGCTCTACGCTCTGACGTTGGCATGTTCAGAACAGCTCCCTGCGTTGTGAGCGTTGATGGCCACTATGAAGCCCACTGTGGGCACATGTCATCCTACTGCAATGATCCCGATGGATAAGAGCTTTCAGATTGGCAGTGTTGGACCTATCATCCGTTATCGTGTGTTTGGGCTTTCGCCTACTATGATCTGGCCCCATGTCGGGAATTGCAGAACAACACACACACGTTGGTTCAGCACGAGTGACTGCGACGAGCGACTGACAGGACAAGACGATGAAAAAACAGAAGAGCAGGACATGAGCTGACGATTGATTTTGGTGCGTAAGCATGCCAGACGCCAGGAACGGCATGCTAAAACTGATGATCCGTTGGGGTAGGGTTCTGCCCCGTGTGCCAGACTCAAGGAATGGCACACCAAATCAGCTGCCTTCGCGGGGACCCAGGGCGGATGCCTGCAGGTACGTTTTCCTGGAGGGCGGAGGGGAGCTTGGTTGGACAGAGCCAGTCCGCACTCCCTCTGTCCCCCTGCCCTGACGATGCCATCCATACAGTCGCCATGTCCATGCGTTTACACACACACACACACACACACCCTTTCCGACCCCACGACCCCCGCACCCCGCATTCACATTCGTCTTATCGGGCCCTGCACCTGCCACCAGGCCGAAGCGGATGACGCGAAGTCTTTACAATTACAAGAACACTGGGACCATACAACACTGGAGTGCTAAAAAAACTCAAAGACATTCAGTTTTGAATAATACTGAGAAACAGGATACTAGCAATCATAAGAGTAAGAAGTAATAAGAAGAATACTAATACTTCTACAGATATTAATGCTAGTACCGGAGAAATCGCGCCTGGCCCTGCATCGGCACAGCTGCCCAGTCTCGCGGGAGGCGAGGATTGCATTGAGGGCGGCGACTCCGGCAATGTATGGCTTCGGGATTGCAGAGTTTGGGGTACAGGGTCTAGGATAGATTCTGTGTGTTTTTTGAGAGCCCTTGGGTATCTGCCTAGGTTAGGGCTAAGAACTCCGAATTCGGATGAGCCTGTTGACCAGAGCACTCGGATTGAACCCCAAAGCAACAACGCACTGGACCTTGACCTTCACAGCAACTTGGCACTCAGATGCACTCAGCTAAGATGAGCTAGACTCAGCTAGACGATGGAACTTAGGGTTTCGGGGATACTGAAGGACTTGCTTCAGGTTTCACACGCGACGGACACTTCGAGCCGCGACGGCGAAAAGCGAATGACACTAGCCGCTGCACTCCAGTCCCAGGGCCAGAGATGTAGGACACATCTCCGCTAAGCTTCAGGAGCTCGGACTGGAGACTTGGAGTTTGAGCCTTTCCAAGTTCATGCATGGGCTGGCAAAGTCTTCCGAGCTTCTTTCAGAATGGCATGTCGCAGGGCTTGGCGTCAGAAAATCGCGATTTGAAAAGGAGGCAGCCCAGGCAAGCACTGAACAAGTCCGAGCCAACCCTGGCGCCATGAAAATTGGGCAGTTGCTTAGCAAGCAGTTGCAATAAGCCCCGGCGTGTGCAATGCGAGCGAATACAGACAACATACAGACAACAATCCCTTGTTTGATGTTCACTCCGTAAGCTGAGACTATTAGCACGTCGCCAGGAGAATCAGACTAAATATATTTGAGGGGCTCGCCCTTCAGGATACCTTCTTCTCTAGCTCTTCCATCTCAGGGAAGCGCTGAACCCCGGCAACACCTGCAATGAAAGCTTGCTGCAGCATGAAGACAGGGTTGTCAATCTAACAGCTATTGAGACTGACGGTTGTTGTTGCAACGTCCTGCTGGTCACCATGGTGCACTTTCTTATGTCTCTCTTCGTGCATCATGTTACCCCGTGCGAGATGGTGTATGCTGGAAGCACCTTCGTCCTCAATTGCAGCGACGATGGCCTTCGACAGAGTGAAGACCGTGACCTGCAGACTCGCGTATTCATGCCCGTCGATGGCAATGCTTTTGGGAAAGCCGGATGCCATGTGAGCCAAGCGACCGTTTTGTCAACGAAAGGAACACCAACTGCGTTGAGCAGGTTGAAAACCGGAATGACAGGCCTCACAATTCGTCTGGGCACTACTATCGCCGACACTGCATGCATGCTTCAATCTCAGATCATGCGAGAGTGAATTGCGTTGTTCCGATACATGTCGAAAGCAGAGGTCAGGCTGACACGATTCTACGCACCATCCGAGCGCAAGGCAGAACGTCGAACTTGGTCCAGCTCCAAATCAGGGATGGCCTTTCATATGCACCGAGCGGCAAAGAGGCAGGCAATGCATACATGCTAAACGAGGAATACGACATGTACGCCTACCGGCCTATCACCACACCTACTGGTACCGAAATTCTTTCGTGCACAGCACGGAGCGCTGTGTCTCGAAACTGGACGATGGGTGGAATACGGAATGTGCGGCTCTGTGAATCAAGGCCATTCGACAGAGAGCCGAAGGGAGAAGGCGATGGTGATCGGGCAAAGAGTTGAGCCGTGCCACGAGAAGGATGCAGACTCGCTGCGTGCATGAGGTCAACCCAGTCGCGATTGCAGACGAACTGTGTATGGAGAGGAGCAGGACCTTCAGAGATCTCTTAACTAAGGGCCGAAAGGTGGAACATTTTGGACGACCTCGTCAGGGCGAAAGCGGTCTACTGAGCGGGCAAAGTGGGAACACTTTCTCACGGAGCTGGCGAGGTACGGCGCCAGCCGTGTCCAAGTTGCCAAGTGCGGCGTCTTGCTTCAATACAAACCTTTAGCTAAAAGCCTGCTGAGTTTCTGTTCTGAACGGAACGAGAGACCTTGGATCATGAACTCGACATCATACACAGACAATCGCAGACAGCCCTGCGGTGCCGCCTGAAGATGGCGGACCTGATGGTATCTGTGCTCGAGGCCAGCTCGCCCTCAACAGCTCGCTTGGCCACCAGGTACTCCTAGAAAGCAAGCAAAGGCCTCACATGCTGCAACGCACTGCTATCTATGCCTATCTGCAGGGTCTCTCCTAGATACTGTACGACATTTCTCTGGCCTTGGCCTACATGTCCTCGAGCCTTGGGCCAACTATCCTTACGTGCTTTGGCAACCATTGCGAAGTCCTTGAGCCAGGCAGGCGCCACCTTCTCCACCTGGTCGTTTGTGCTTCGCGTGGACGCATCATGGGGACTTGGGACATGGACGAACGACACAGGAGGTAGATGAATACCGTGCTCTGCACATACCCTACCTCCGGCCCAAGCGCAACATCCGGCCATCCTGCCTGGAGTCAAGTGGAAGCAGACTTAAGCAGACCGGCTCCAGGAAAATCCGCTTGTCACGGCTAGGCTTCAACTTGGCGACTAGCACGATGGAGGATTGCGGCTAGGCTCAAGCTTAGATGGCTTAGATGGCTATACAGCTATACACGCATGAGAAACAGCCCGTCGTCCCAGATGGCCTCTGCCGCCGAGACGAACATCATTGGCATCGGTGGTGAGAAGGGCCTTACAAGTCAGGTAATGAGCTCGGGTATGCTGCAGTGCACTGGAGCACCTGAACAATGCGTGGTGAAGCGCTATTTGCAGTCAGCTGCACTACCTACTGGCGACCTGGACAACCGACGGCAAAGGTATCATGTCTTGGTTTCCTGGTCCTGTGTACACGCGCACGCCTTCTGCCATGACATCGAGAGCCAGACATGCGGATGCGACCTTTGATCGCGTTGATGACGTTGAAGGCCTGAGCCACCGATGAACATCCTTCAGTCTCCTTTCCAAAAGCTCCCCACCACAGTGCAAGAGCGGATCTTTCCACCAAAGCTACATGAAATGCTCAGCCCTGAACTGTCTGACGCGTGATTTTGTCGTAGGTGCTTGTGTCGTCCGGGGTGGATCCAGATCCACTGACCTGACCGGAAAATCAAGCACACACAGCCTTGATTTCAAACGCACAGGCTGTGGATCCGGCAACGAGGTTGAGGTTTGTGAGCCCGCTGTTCACATCAAACAGCAATCCGATGGCCTTGTGAACGGCAGTTCGAAAATAGGTCACAGGATTGGCAAATGCGACCGATGCGACGTCTGTTCCATGGCGAATGAACACGAGCAGTGCAGATCCAAATGATCAGCTGGCAGAAGCAGCCGCTGGGATCCCCACATGCACAACGGCATCCGCTTCGCCTGAGTGAGACGTGCAGGAGAACTCTGGAAATTCTAGGACCTGGGACACCCCGGCCGCTACCCTGGCAAATGTCGAACGTCGAAAATTCCGACCTAGCTCTGGGCACCCCATGGCACCTACAACGTTCTGCACCGTCGAAGAGTCGGCAGCATCTCCCTGCACAGCGGGTCGTGGAACACGGCTCAGTTCACATGTGAACTGTATTCTCTCGAGATCTGAGGAGCCGCTCCGGGCCTTGACCCACTTTACCTGATCGAGCTCTGCATTGCCAGGCTCAGGGTTTTCACCACGTCGGCTGAGCGACGTGACCTCGCCAGGACACCCGACATTTTCAATGTAGGCACGGTCTGGGCTACCACGACTGGGAGCCTGGAAGCCTCTCTGCACGGCAAGCCTGCACACCTGCAGAAAGAGGCTTGGAACTGTGATTGTAGAAGCTACGGGTGCACCAGCCACAACTGAATACTTCTTTAAAAGAAAGTAACCTCGCGCCCAACATAGCCGTTGCCACCGAGGACCAACAGACGTTTGCCGGCCTGGATGGTCTCAAAGCTGAGCACTCTCAGAACAGCAGGCTCTTTCTGGCCAAGTGCACTGCTGAAGGCTCCTCACCTTCGGCAGCCCGTGCTGTGACAGGCCTTGTAACAGGTGCCTTGCAGGACTGCCGGCAAATCAACAGGCGCAGATGACGAGTGAAGACATGAGTGCAAACTAGTGCTCCGATTTCAATCGCGCATGGACATCAGGCGACTCTGCGAGCAACTGGCACGAAAAGCAACACGTTGCTTACCACACACATCACATAGGTGCTAGTTTCATGTCTCGCCATGATGCACAACTTGCGGCATTCACCCGTGTCTCGCTGAACTCCGGCTTTATGCTGACCATTCCCCCTGCCTGTGTGTTCACGAAAGCAAGGTTGGAGGCGACGTCCTGCCCGGGATGCGCGTGCTCGCAGACAGGGAACCCTGCAAGCCCTCACCCAGCCCCGTGCAAGCATGCTTCTTTCACCCCCGAAGCTGGACACCACAATCATGTGCGCAAGCTGGGTACCATGAACACTGAAGGATACGTCAACCTGAGACTGAAGTGACGATAGAAAACCGATTCCGAATGCCTTTGTTGTGGGTAGTTGCAGCAGCCAGCACAAGGCAACTCCAGCCGCAGCAACGAGGCAAATGGCCTGCGCAGTGTCACGACGGACAACTGAGCATCGATATGCTTGACGAATCCTTACAGTGTCCTTATGGTGTCCTATGATCCTATTTCCAAAGGCCCACAAGAAGATTCCCCGATGCAGCAACTGAGAAGTACTCCGTTCCGCTTTGTCTGACCTTGATACCAGCCAAAGGTCGAGTTGACCCAGTCTGCCGAGTGGATGCCATTGCGGAAACAGTACGCGATAAGGAGGCGGGTGTGCTACTTTGAGAGGATGTTGGGACATGGATTCAAGACTCATGCAGGAGTTCATGCTTGTGAAGCATGTGGCTGATTTCAGCTACGTTCCAAGCCGACTCGGCCACCACAGCGACGCGTACGTCTACATTGAGACTTCGTAAGTGTGCACAGTCCGCGTGATAGGCAGTGGATGCATGGTTGAAATCTAGAAGCCGGTCTCTGTGTCTGCACAGAAGCATAGTGACATGCTGCCTCAGGCTCTGCACCAGCGTCCCCCGAAATTCGCCAGCCCTGGACGGCAACGCTCCTTTTCATGCCGTGGCTGTTGGCTCCGCTATCCTTGTGGTGATCCATGCAACCTGAGCTCCACGCAGCACAGAACATCACAGAAAGCAGGAAGCTGTTGGGGACCCTGCAGCCAGCAGGAGAACAGCTGCAAGGCGCGCGTGGCGTCGATGCCAGGCGAGACAAACCTGTATCAACTTCACACCACCAGCAACACTCGCCAGACCACGATCCTCGCTTTTGTTGGATCTGTAAGCAGCCTGATAATCTCGGCCAAGACACGTTCAGACCAGCAGCGCCTGCTGAAATGCGGAAGGCGAGAGCATAAGCAAGTCTTTGGCCTGACAAAGGAGCGAGCTTTGCAGTCAGGTCTCTAAAGATGGAATGGTGTTCGCGTCTGGAGTCTAGGCTGCTGACTTGATGCCACGCCAAGTCCGTCTGCGACTAAAGGATGCAGCAGCTGGGAGACCATGCAGAGGGAGGTGAAGGCTGGCCTGATTCACGGCAATTCAGGACGGTTTCCTCTAGTTCCTGCCTTTCTGAAAGCGCATCTCAGGCACGGGTAGTCTGAAGCCAGCACCACTGCAAAGACCAGCATGAACGCCTTGGGGAACAATGCGAAACAAAGCAGTTGAATCTGGCCCGGCAGTGACGAAAGCTCTGGCGGGCTCTGCATCACAGCACTGTGAGCTGAGCCAAGCGCTGCGGAGCCGCCAAGAAGATTCCACCCACGAGCGAGGCCTTGAAGAACGCCTCGGCAGAGAGAATGCATAAACGGACACTGCTAAGTTGAAGAAGAATGGCCTCAGCCCCCTCCTGTCCCTGTGTCAGCTGAGAGTCCCAATTCCAGCAACATCAGCGACCTCACTTGGTGTCCCAGTCTCCCGCATGAATCTCAACATGTTTAAGCAGGACACCGCTACTTTCCTCGCCCGAGATTTCGAGATCAAGGCACGACACCACGCTAACTCCCAGAATCCAATGCCGCCACCGAGGTGACTTGCGCACCTTTGGACTGGAGCAATCTGCTAACGAAGTGGAGGCATGGGTATGCGTAAGTGTCCACCTCATCTTCTCGAAGCTTTGGAACGGATTCTTTGCCATAGGCCTCGCGGTTACGTATCATGTAAGCAAACGCAAGCGCATTCAAGAGAAGCTCGGTCAGATGTGATGCAGCTTTTTGGAGGCGTTGGTGCCTAGGCCGACATGGGACCAGAGATCTCTGAGAACCAGGCTCGAAAGGAGTTGGCTGCAACGGGCTTGGCACCTCTGCGGCTCACACGCGCACGTCGAGCTAGAAGCTGTCACAGAGCACTGCACATGCCACTTATCTCCAGTAGGAGCATCTCTGAGGCGCGAGCGCCACCACTTCGTGCTATTGCTCCGGCTGGTGAAGGTGTAGGAGGCGAAGTCAATCGACACTGCTGTTGGTGGTGCTCCGTCCTGATATAGATCCTCACTGGAAATCACCAGGACTGGCTCAGCCGAAATTGGCAGCAGTCCACGTTTGCACTGCTTTTTCTCGGGCTGATTATGTGCCAAGGAGAAACAAGTAGTTCCTGATCTGGGCATAAACACACGACATGAAATCAAGCTGGAGCCCTTGAGCCTGTTGCCCGACTGCGCCGTTGCTCTACTTGGCCTTTCTTACTTTCCTCTCACTGATGAGGCGTGTGGCGGGTGGGTAGAACTCGCTCAAACGAGCTGACATGCCCGAATCACTTCATCTGAGTTTGTCTGAAGCCGCCGCAGAGCAGCCCTTTGCTTTACTTGCCACTGTAATGTTTGCGCTGTAGGCGGCTGCTGCTATGTCGATTGTGGCATGGATCTAGGCTGTCGATGACTTTTATGTCCCGGCTCTGACAACCTTTGGCAGCAAGAAAACTAGAGGTGAGGGTTGTGCTAATATTGGCAGTGTCTTGATCTGCCCTGCATGCTGGTCTCACCAGGCAACGTCGTGAAAAACTAGTTACATCCGAGCTGGCACACTTAGCTGCAGGGAAATAAGAATCTCTGCCGATGTTGAGCTCTTGCCAGTACTGGTTTTGAAGCCGGGTGCTGTCACACAGGTGTAGGCACAGTGTGGCAAATTTGCGTCGCAACACCCGAACATGGACAGCACGAGGGCTTCATGTTGCCGTACTGGTCGGTCCTGGATCGGAACGCCCAGAAGCCCTGCAGCATCTTCGTCACCGTTCAAAACCTTTATTACCAGCACCTGTCTGGAAAGACTGCGAAATGCTGGCAGACTCCCTTTCGAAAAGCATCCAGTTGCCACGTGCCTGAATAAAATCCGGAAGGTGCTGATGGTAAGCTTCCGCCGGCGCCTCCGAGCATCAAGCTTGAAAGAGGGCTTTACAGTCCTCGCCAAGTCCAGCAAAACGGTGTGCCAACTGGCAGTCCTTCTGGGTCCAGAGCTGCTCCAATGAGGCCGTAACACGAATCCACGTCTCCCAATCCAGACGGTAGTGATAAGGGGACCTTGTGCAAGCCACACCACTCAATCACCTGTCAACCCGGACATGCAGTATTCTGCCGGCACGCCGACAGAAATCAAGCTGTGACCAGCCATTGCAAGCAGGGATCATGAGGCAAGGTCTCTGATCGATGGTGCCAGGAAGGCACTTGAAGTCCAAGGGCTTCCAAACCTCGGCTTGCCACCGCGAAAAGGACAGACTGATCCGCTCATACAGAGCCTAGTTCCACACTGCGCCATTCTCATCTAGAACACCCGACCCGATGTAGTCTGGACTGGCTGCCCTTCGACTATTGTTCGGCAACCGTGCCGGCTTTGGCGATCAAGTCTTCAGGCTCAAATCACGCCACGAATAGCGCAATGCGTGTCAATGTCTACAGCAGTTTGAGGTGCAGGCAAGCAGCGGCCTGAGGACCGCCGGGTGCAGGATCATGAGTGTACTTTAAGACCTGGGGCTCTCAGACAGTTCTGATCACAGGTACAGCAGATGGTCGGTGTGCGCTGAGCCATCGTCTTCGCCACAAGAAGCTATAATGGTACCGTTCCACTCTTCTGATCTCTTTGATTTCAGGAGTTGGGAGCAGGTCTGCGAAGCCAGAGAACCACACGAAGCAGAGCCAAAAGAAGTGCAGCCGAAGAGAACTCAAGAAGACAGATGCCGAGAACGTCTGCAAAACGAGCGAAGAAAACCAGGGTTCAAAAAGCCAGGTTGCTTATCGAAGCTGCAAAGTCAAGTTTCCTCTCGTTAGGGAGGGCGGGAGAGGGATAGAGAGCGAAGGAGCCACAGCAGATTGCGTGAGAGCAGGGGAGAGATCCAAAGAGACGGAAACAGGGAGAGAGCACAACGCTGCACAGGTGGTCTAAGTAGCGAATCTCACATCAGGAACGGCAAAATCCCCGAGAAAGCCAAGGCATGAGCAATTTGAACTCGGTGCTTGTTGATGAAACCAAAGACGCCCTGCGAATTCATGAGAAACCTCGCGTCGTGCCCACAGGAAGCATGCAGAGATGGGAAGAAGTCAGGCACCCATCGCTGCTTCAGGAAATTTGGGGCATGCTGCTGGCTTTGGTCAACTTTCTGCAGCCATTTCACCAGTCGTCGTAGCTGTTGATCCAGGGTGCAGGACCAAAGAGTTCCTTCAACCCCAGCAGCTCTCTGATGCATTTGTATCAAAGCTTTGCGTGTTTTCAGAGCCAGATGACAGAAAGCCAAATCGCTCGGTGCCTTGATGGGATCTTTGGACTTGTAAACCATGACCTGAACGAAAATGCCAAGAATCCACAGCTCGTGAAGGTGCTAGACTACTAAACAGCGGATAGGCCGCCCTGCTGTCTTACTTTGCTGTCTCAGTGCAGCTACGACGCCATGACCAGAAGCAGGTTGGCGAGAGATCGCATCCCCAGATAGCCGCGGCGGAGTGTGCGCCGAACCAGACGCGGATCTGGGCAGGAAGATCCGAACGACTTAACGATTCCACGTTCCATAAGGTCATGGGCTGCTCCAGGAATCACAGCAACCTTATACAGTATGCTATCGCCACACAGAGCCATGCATGATTCTTCGCAGCTTGCATTGGCAGGTGCCAGGCTGCCTGCAGACAGATCCGCGCGCTCCGATGCCTGAGATACGTTGGACTTGGATCTGGATTTGTCGAACAGGTGCTTCTACTTCAGTGCTCACAGTAGAAGGCCGTTTGGTTTGGAAGCGCTTAGCAAACTGGCATGTCTATGCAATGCACGTACCTGTCGGCCTGCAATTGAGGGCGGCTTAGCGGCCTCCTCCACAGCTTGCTGCAGCCTCTGCCGCCAAGGCCACGGCGTCCTGAGCATGCCATCCCGATCTTTCAGATGCCATCCCGATCTTTCAGCATCTTTGCACGCGGGGAAGACAGCTTTCAGTCTAGCTGCAAGCCAAGCAGGAAACCATCATCAACCATCGCCACGCAAGGCAAGGCACCGATAAAGTTGATCCATGCCTCACAGCTCATGATATCCAGATCCACACAGCCGCTGCTTGCACAGAAAGGTCAAGCGACTCCCCCTAGCTTTACTACCCTGACACGGATCGATGGTGAACATAGGCTCTGGAAAACAACAAACATGCCGAGGCTGCGTCACACCGTGAGCCAAAGATATACCTTAACAGCCTGAAAACGCCTACATACCCTGGCCCTGGCCCTTATCTGTAGCGCAAGTCCAGGATCAGGCCGAAGCACATAGTTCCCAGTGCCCACAATGCCCATCCTCAGAGGGCATTCAAAGGCATACACTGAGGGGGTCTGTCCTTTGTTCCCGATCTCTGGTCAAGACTCTGAAAGCCAACCTCCAGAACGGCGGCTGTGAGTCCTGAACACCAACAAGCCAATGCAAGACACGGAAAATCATAAGAAGTCCCACGCTACGACGACCCTTTGCTAACCGAGCTGCGCAGGACTGCGACATGCCAAGGCAGACAAGCATCGGAAGATTCGAAGAGGCACCAACATCGCGAAGGGCAGCACAAGCTGCTCCACAAATGTCAAACCGACCTGAATTCACTGAAAGTGGCAGTTGTGAACAGCGCATTGATTCGTTGATGTTGTGAAACATGCAAAAACATACACAAACAATCGGCGCACTCTGACCCC